AAATCGAAATGACGTATGTAGGAATCGAAATGACGTATGTAGAAATTGAAATGACGCATGTAGGAATCGAAATGGCGCATGTAGAAATCGAAATGACGTATGTGGAAATGGAAATGACGTATGTAGGAATCGAAATAAGAAAAATCAAAATATCCAGAAACTATTAGAAATTCACTTGGCCGTCATTAGCCACGGACCATGATTTCATGTAGAAATCGAATGATAGCATGTAAAATATGAATGATCGCATGTGTAGAAATCTGATAATCGCATGTAGGGGAATCGATTGACACGTAAAAATCAAACGATGGCATGTATTTATACATTAAAATTATAAAATGTGATATTATGAGAGGTTAATTTTGACATGGATGGCGCACCATCGGTGTATTTGTGATCACTTACCCTGAAACCTCTTTCTAGTAGCAGGTACAACAGTATATTAACTGTAATATAGTGGTGTTTCCCGATTTGTTTCCTCCTTAGGAATGGACCGAATTCGTCGAATCGGCTGAAGAAGGAGTTGTAGTATTTACATTGGGTTCACAGATTAGCATAGGCGAAGACTTGGAAAAAGCAACAAAGTTTGTTAGAGCTTTTGCTAGATTGCCACAAAAAGTTATTATGAGATACGTAGGGGAGCCACTAAACGGAGTCGGCGAGAACACTAAACTTAGCAGTTGGATTCCACAAAATGACCTGCTAGGTAATAAATAGACTATATTCAACGAGTGAGCCAACAACATCACATATGTCTTACAGGAACTCTTTGATTATTATGGCGGTGCCACACGTGGAGCAGAATGTGATCGCCATTTTCGAAACACCTTACATCGCGTCATGGATACCATGATGTCTCCATGGCTTTGTAGTGTGCTTGTCAATTTTTTTTTTAATTCGTTGTAGGTCATTTGTTATGTGGTGTCAGCCATTTCGCTATGTACTGAGTCGTAGTTGTCATTCTAAACTCGGAATGATGAATAGAGCAGGGTGTGCTAACTCCTTCAAGTTGTTGATTATGTGTCACTTTTTTATGTTTGTTAAATGCTGAAGTTATAACTTGTTTTGTGTTTTGGGATTGTTACATTTAATTTAATGACTATGACTATGGATATCGTTTGGATATATACTGCTACTTCTGCGTTATCATTGGTCCGTTTTTTCAGACTTTGAAATAGTTTTTCAGTTGTTTATAACAAAAAAATTGCACTTTAGAACAATTTAAAATTAATCAATTTGAAATAAACGAACTTGTCACGTGTTATAGTGTAATTAACTATAATTATTCACCTTGATATTTCATCCCAATAGGTCACCCAAATACCAAAGCATTCATAGGTCATGGGGGAATTAATGGAATAAACGAGGCTATCTACCATGGAGTGCCTTTCATTGGCGTGGCGGCACTTGGAGACCAGGCTGAAAATATAGGAAGACTGGTTAACAAAGGAATGGCAATTGCTTTAAATTTACACTCCTTTTCAGAAGATGATGTCTACAACGCTGTGAAAAAGGTGATCGAAGACTCCAGGTAAGGACTTCTTAGTGAGAGATTGACAATTTGCAATGCTAATCAATGGTAATGTTTTGTGAAGGCGGAGGCATTGTCACCTGCGCACGCCCTACTTAGCGACAGTATAACAGCACATGCTAAAAACGCAAAGGCTCTTGGTAGATGCTTGTTTGTAAATAAGGACCCGTCAGGGTTTTTTGCCGTATGCGCAGATGACGACTCCCATCGCTTCTATATATAATTAAAGGGCTGCAGTCGTCCCACCGCGTTCTCTTCGATATGGGACTCATAGCGACGTATACAACGCGTGTAAAATACATTGTTTATTTCCATGAAATTCGAACACACGCTGCGCGACGACCACTGCACTTTAATATCGTGGGTTTAAAAAAAAACAAAGTTTTACTTCAAGGATAAGCACATACTGATTTCTTGTACATATTATCTTTTCTAGGTACAAAGAGAATGCCGCCAGGTTATCCAGTATTCAGAAAGATACTCCAATGTCACCAGGAGATACAGCTGTATTTTGGATTGAACACATATTGAAGTTTGGCGGTGATCACCTCAAACCAGCATCCCTCCAACTGAATTTTGTCCAGTATTTCCTTCTCGACATTGTTGCTTTTGTATTGGTCGTATTTGCCTTTGTAATCATTGTTTCAAAGCTAGTAATACAACAGGTCTGTAAAATGTGTTGCAAACCAACGAAAAAGAAGCAACTGTGATGGGACGAGAAACGTTTCGTGCAAAGAAGTAGTTGTATTGGAGTTTGCGAAAAGCATACACTTTCACTAATTTTAATCAGTATCTATGGGAATGGTTTCGAATAAATATAAATATAAGAGAGTATAAACTTTATTTGCAAATGCCGCCTAGTTCTCAGTGAGAGAGAGCGAACCTACTTATTTTGCCCCCTCTCCCTGCCAATAGTATTCCAATCTCTAACGCCATTGCGCCCGCTATCGCAAATACCATACTTACATTACAAAAAACACTAGTATTGGTTCTTTCACAGTATTTCAACCAATTTTAATATATATTTTTGATCCGATTGTATCTATCCCCGATATTCATCGAGTGTTATTCAATTGTTCAGACCACTGACCAACAACTGTATATTCTGTGTACTTGGAATGTTTTAAGCTGGCGATCATTATTCAGTTTTTACTTCAAAAATGTGGCTTTTTTGTCCCAATCTTCTGATGTAGACTATAAACAGAACTATTTTGCGAATTTGTAATGAAATGAGAGAACTGGTGGTGAGAAAGTTAATCGCATATCGACTTACGGACAGAGTTGTTTTGTTTCTGACCAATTTAGCACTTTCAAATCCCATCGGTTACTACAATAATTTAACAAACGTCAAACAATTTATCAATTATGAAGTAATCAAAGAACTTTGACTAATTTTGTTACACGTGTCTCAGTGAGAATTCATTTAACTTTCTTGATATGGTCTTTGAGGCTATTCTTACCATAATAACATTCGTGCCGGAACCGATCAGCCAACATTCACGTGTATGAGCACAAGCCGGCCCCTGGAAACACGCACGCACGACCGACCGAAAAGAATGTATTTTAACACTCGCCAAAATATTCACACCTCAATCGAACTCACCAGTGTATGGTGAGACAAATGAAGACGTCATGTTAATATCAAAGCGGTGTTAGAATGACTTCGGTCAGGAAATAATTTTTCAATTTAGAAATTATTAACAACCGTTTCTAAATTCTGCGATTTGAATTGTGTGTACCTGTACACCGCCATTTCCCAATTATGTCCCAAATTTCAAGGAACTCAACGTTTCGCTTATTTTTAGTGACATAAAACTAGTCATCCAGACCTCAGACTAGTAATAGTATTACTAGTCTGAGTCCAGACCCACGACTTGGGGATAATCTAATCGTGGACGCGAATCTCAATAGCATGCGACTAACTCAAATTGACCTTTCGATGTGCCGCTTTCTAGCCATTTTTGCAGTAAAAACAGATATATAACAATTTGATGCATCGTCTTAAATCTGCTTTTCCGACGACAGTTGTTGTGAAATCAACAAAATGTCAATGTAAAATCGTTCTTATGTTCGGAACCCGTTACGTATTAGCCCGCATACAGAATGTTCCCGACTTGAACGTTATACACAAAAATAAGACTATTTAAATAAGACGCAGAAGACAAGTTATTTTCTGTTGTAGTATTCGAAAAGGCTATTGGACGTGATCTACAAATTTAAAACTAATATTTTTACTAAACATTTACCGTTTATTTGTATACATTCGAATAAATTGGTGTTAATACAATATTATTTGATCATAGATCATCGATTCTTGATTCATTTTATCTTCAAGATTTGATCATCACGTAAGTAAGTGCTTTCTAACGTTTGATTTTGAATTGCAGAATTTGCTTTTTTGTTCGAGTTTGGGATGTAACAACTGGACCTATTCCCGTATCCTTTTTGCCCTCGTCTGTTTTCACTCATATGCTTTTCAGCGAATTCAATATAAACACCGCGACTAGTTTACAAACCGTTTACACGAACTACAGTCAGCGATTGTCACACAGTCTCGTCATTTCATTCACAACTTTAAAAAGCCTAAAGTATAAACTATTTCCATACACAATGATGCATGTTCAACATTAAATCAACTACTTTTTGATGATCAAATAATTCGTTCGCGTGTATTCAACCTATAAATAAGGTAAAATTATATCACGTTTATTTGTTGTATAAGTATTGTATTTATTGTTTCGGACATTAGTAATCGGGGTTTTCACCACTACTAAATATTTCATAGAAATCCAGTCGGAAAACATGCAGAAATCTTCCATTTTGAATCTATTTTCATAGGTATTGATATTAGAGCATTATTTCATAAATGTTGCTGAAGCTCGTGACATATTATTTGTTCACGTACCTAAACCAAATATTGAAATGTGGCGTAACACTTTTACCATAGTGTTACTAAAGGGGCGTACTGTATATCGTATTTTGACTCGCTTGGCAAGGTATATACCTCTAGTATCTTACGCTTCACAGATACCAGGTTCGACTCAAAAGAGTACACATTAGTTCATTGCAGATAGTCCAGCTTTATTACTATCCAGTCGGACACTAGGGTGCTCGGCTTCCAACTCCCTAACTCTCCTACTCCAATTACAATTGCTGATAGCTCTGTTAAATATCTATGCATACGTTATCTACCAATAGCTGCAAGCCATTGACGAATTACGCAGTTTCTAGATCTCGACTCTCAAGGGTAAATGCAAATACTTATTTATAAATATAATATAATATGTGTATCCATTTGGTAGAATTTACGCCCATAATATGATTTCTGGGAAAGCAACATGTATGTGATTCCCTATTAATATGACGACACAAGGAACCAATGGCAAAATGACAATTTAATATGTATTTGATATGACATATATGTTGTGCGTAAAGTAGTTCGGTGCTCATACATTTTTATGAGATTGTGTGAGTAACAGAATAAAATAAAGCCATATGGTAAAATTCTAAAAAAAAACGGCGATAATTTTTAACTACTCACTATTTACAGTGAAAATGAAAAATTTAATTTGTTGCTCCAAATACCGCATACACATAATTGTTGTTTTGCAAAGAACCCTAAAGAAGGACTATCGAATCGACATTACGCTTAAACGTGAAATTATTGAAAGCATTGTCTATTTCCTGTTGGGAAATCCACCAAAATATCATTAGTATAATAATTAAAAGTCGAACACAACACAGCGAATACCATGATTTAATTTGACTTGTTAAAATATTTTCAAATGCACTGATAAATATTCCAAGGACTATAGAAGTAGGGGCCATTTTGTCTAATTATTGGAACTAAAGTATCGACTGTTCCAACGATACACCAGCTCATCTGCTTTATATTGCATGACAAACAATCTACATGTTAGACCAGACTGTGAATGTTGAATAGTAAAACTTGTACACTGACTGTTAGCTAAACACGCATGCGCACATGACAAAAGCGATGCAAGCTGCATAACCTGGATGGCAGTGTCACCGACCACATCGGCGTTATCTGCGATCAAATAAAACATAGCTGCCCGATTACTCTGAGTGCGACCTATCCCCGGTTGAACGCCTGTGAGACAGAACATGGTTAAATTACAAATAAAACAAACATGTCAAAAACGGATAATAAAGTTGGATGTTCTCGTAGTTGAATTATTCGTGGCTGCAATCACATTTGCATATTCGTTGGATGTTTAACCACGGAATTCCATGCACTGATTTACTCTGTTTATAACATATTCACGTATATTGATGATAAATAGACAAATAGAATCGTTGCCTTGACTTACCTGAAATGCATGTAAATGTTCTTGCATTGTAACCCCAGCTTGTTTCAATACAGCTACATACTCCTGATACACACCGTCCGTTATTGCACGATGTATCAGTTGAGCACACTACGAACAGACAACACATAGCAATTAGCCCACCTATCGAGTATTTATCAACTACACAAGTAAATCGCGATATTTGAGGAAAAAAGACAATGTATGTGTTTTACAATTAATTGTCCAAAATGTTAAACATTTGTCAAATATTTTGAAATTAAGTAAGTAATAAATTTGTTCGTTGCGGAGTCACGTGATATAATTCTGAGTAGGTGAACGACTTGTACCACCACCGTGTAATATATATATTAATATGCCCGTATCATGTGTACTAAGCAGTCATAAAGTGTTTGGGATTTTACGTTGTGTATATTAATTGTAATACACCATTCTTGCAGGACTAGCAACGATATACGATGATCTAAATACCTGCTTTTATGATGTATTTAAACAAACACATCAGATGGTAACACAAATAGCATAGTATATACACATACTAGTCTTTGTGAACGTTCATAATCGTGCTTTTTCATCGCGTGCTTTTAATACCTACTATTATATTTGTAGTTATATCTACCTTTAAAATGTGCACTTCTGTTTTATGTGTTGCTCGCTGCTATATGATGATTGTCAGATGTTATTTTCCTGATGTGTGTTTGGACAAGATTAAAATAATACCTACCGCGGCAAATACTACTTGAATCCAATAACCAGCCATCGTTGCAAATACACTGTCCAGTACTGTTACACGTACCATGAACACAGTCGTCTTCTATGAGACAATCTGCAGTTATGATAAAGAATACTTGTTAAATCGGATTTGTTCTTGATATTGAACATAGCTTTTTGCCAATGTATTGCTGTCTTGGGGCACATGAATGACGACTGGTACGAACATGCAAATGAATACATATAGTATTGTTTGCATATCGACACGCATGTTCTATGCTGCTACTGAAAATAACCTAATTTGGCAGCATTAAAAATAACATCAACAAAATGTTAATGCTCGAATGTCAACATACCATAAGTACAGGACGGAATGTCACTATTCCATTCGCCGTCCA